CCTTGTATATATATATATATATATATATATATATATCCAAAAACTATTCGGGTTAGAATTATATAAGATTCGAATCTTCTTTTCTTTTCTAGACATGTCTCTTACTACGTTTGTCAATTTAATTACGGATTGATGACTTGGAAAGTACTTGGTGATTGATGACTTGGAAAGTACTTGGGGTTCCCATCTTGCATAACCGAATAAATGAGTTTACTTGTTATGAAAAGAGTTAATAAAAGGATGAGTAATTAGGTTGACTTTAACTAAATTAGTTCTTGCTACTTTTTTTTATGTTATGCAAATTGCTTTCTTTTCCTCGCCAATTATGTGATGAGCTAGATAAGAAGAGTAGGATTTTCTTTGGAGAAATGATAACAACAAATGTCATGTGCATGTTGTGTCTGGGCTAGTCATTTGTACTCCCAAGTTAGATGGTGTGTCTTGGCCAGTCATTTGCACTCCCAAGTTAGATGGTGGTCTTGGCCTGCGGTGTTGTGTCTTTGTAATATCTTGAATTTTCTACTAATTTATGATTAATTATTATTTATTATATATTTATGAAAATTAAATTTTTATAATTATTTTAATTAATTAAATGGGTTTTATAGAATATTTTAGAAGTTTTCAATAATAAATATTTACAAAAAATTATTTTTTAATATTTTAAATTTTAGTAGTTTAGAATATGCCGTTCTGGAATTAGAATAGTCCGTTTTAAAGTATTAAAATGGCTTATAATCCTAGTTGAGAATGGGTCGTTCTGGTTTAAGAACGGGCTGTTCTAAACATGGTTGTTGTGGGTTAAACTTAATCTTAGAACGGGTCGTTCTGCTTTAGGAATGGCACGTTACGGATGTGACTTTTACACATGACGAATGCATGGGGATGTGACTTTTACACATGACGAATGCATGGGTCTAGAATAGGTTGTTCTGGATTTAAAACGGCCGTTTTGGCCACTCTTGACGTCTATAAATAGCATGCTCTATCACTCTTAAAAGCACATTTTTTACTTTTGACTTCTTTTCTTCTACATTTTCTGAAAATTAGATTCTGCTTCAATTTTAGCTCTTACTTATCGAGGTAAGGGGGGAGTGAGAAACTTCATTTTGGGTGTGGGAGTATATGTTGGGTAATGGGATTGGCCCCAATCATATGATTGTTGTATGCTCATTTATGAGGAGTTTTTTCTCAATTATATATGTTTCTTTTATTTGCTCTTCTTATATGTAAATAATTGTATGATTTGAAATCTTTATAGTTTCCTATATGAAACCCTAAGGGAATGCATTGGTGATTGTAAGAAGAGATTGTTTGAAGAAGTAATTATATGAGTAAATTGTACTATTTTAAATGTTTGTTGTATGAATTAGTGTATTTTATAAGTTCCTGTGGAAACCCTATGAGAAACAGGAAAATTTCTAATATTTTCTGTTTTATTTTTTGATTGTTCTGTTATACTCCTTGTTGAATGTGATGTACGAATATGTGTTTACTTTCACAAATAAATAAGTTTTGATATGAATTAAAGTGTTCTGTGGAGACTATGTGAATATGATGAGAATGTGAAATGTGAATATGAGACATGAGATATGAGGATATGTGATAATGTTACATGATGATGTGATATGACAATGAGACATGACGATGTGATATGATAATGAGACATGACGATGTGATATGAAAATGAGACATGATAATGTGATATGAGAATGCATAGAGTCTTGATTGACATGCATCATTTGCATAAATATTTTTAAGGTACGATATGGAATACACCACCAGGAAAGGTTCCCTTGTGTAAAATCTTGGGGGTCCTTGGGGATAGCTCGATTTGTAAGTCTTAGTCTCTCCCATTGTGTGCATGGGATGTATCTTCTGTTACTTAGCTATCCCGACGAGACCCTGGTAGTATGTTCTTCTAGTGAGAGTGCGCAGAGGGTGTGACCTAGCATGTACTCCTAGACTACTCTCGTGTATTGCTAGCGGCAATACACTATGTGATGTGTTACTGGCGCCACATGCATGATAATATGTAGTCTGTGTCCATTACATGTGCATTTTAATGTTATATATACTAAAGTGATTTTTATGTCTTTGATGAGTGGAATGTGATATTGATGTACAATACATGTCTTGTTTGTGTTTGGCTATCCGGTGTGTATTTCTACACTGTGAGCTAGAGTGAGATGTTTCCGACTCCCTTTTCTTTTGTGTTGTTTTCCTTGATTGTTATACAGGTGATTATCAGCATGAGGCTGAGGATGTAAGTGATGAAGCTCAGGCTTCAGTGTTGGGCTTTGTTCTGATAAGACATGTGACATCGGGGCGTAGATAGGATTAGATTAGGATGTTTCACTTATTAAATTATTTTGGAAACTTTAGTTTTATTTCTTTGTAATTTCCGCTGATTTCGTTAAGTTATGGATGTGGTACTCTCTATCTAAATACGTTTGATATTTTAATTATGAAATGTTATGTATTTAAAATTTTATTATTTGTGTTATGGTATGCGGGTAGAGGGTGTCACAGTCTTGGCCAATCATTTGCACTCCCAAGTTAGATGGTGGTCTTGGCCTACAAAGCTCAAGAGCCTTGAACTCTTTTTTGTTCATGAATAATTGTTGCCGAATTTGTACGCATAAAGAGAAGTTGTGTGTTCAGGTAGTTAGATCTAAATATAAATGCGGCATTATACTTCCTTTTGTTGAAAGAAAAGCCAATTCTTCTAACTTTTGGAAGGACCTCTATAGTGTGTGAGAACCCTTTAGAAAAGGCTCAGTACGACGGATTGGCGATGGATGCTCCATTAACTTTCGGTTTCACCATTGGATCCCTACTATTCCTAAGCTCATCTCTAAGGCAATTCACTTTATGCTAGTGGAGGAGACTAATAAACATGTTGCAGATTATGTTGGTCAATTTGGTGAGTGGAATTTGTCAAATATTGAACAATTACTACCTCTTGATATTTTTAATGTTATGATGGACTCCTTTCACCAAGGGATGACAAAATGTCAATGGTAAAGAGGAGCT